ACACACATATTAAAACCTAGGCTAACTTATACATTTAGTATTTAAAGTATTATTTTTATTCTGTTTTGATACTTAAATTTTATTTTTTTCAAAAGTATACTTAATGTTTAGTTTAAGTTTCAATTTGATATCCATTACCTTATGGTGACACGTCAACATCACCATTAAGTTTTTAACGATGGGTGCCAAAATGAAACATAAACTAAACGTCAGACATAATTTTAAAAAAAGTTTAAATACCAAAATGGAATAAAGGTAATAGTTTAAGTATTAAATGTGTAGTTTACCCTAAAATCTAAATGACAGGAAGCGTAATCAGAGCAGGTGGTTAAACATTTGCGGATGGAGTAGTAGGCAAAGTTTGAGAGTGCAGCCTTGTTACTCTTTCACTCCTACTGTTTTCAGCAAATTTCAAGCTTCCCTGGTGCATACCATTTCTCTTCGGAGTTCTTATCAGAAGACGGACCACAAAACATCTCACCCCACTGCGGGAAATATACGAGAAATAGTGGTAAACTGTAGCATATGATCATGACACCCATCAGAGTTATCCCAGTTTCTTTAGAATAATTGGAGCCTTTGAAGAATATTACTTGAGTCAAAACTGCACCCACATTTCCACCTCCTCCGGTCATCCCTGATATCAGACCCAATGACCTGAAACAAAAACAATCTGAATCAATGGATATAAAGCACAAAGCTGGTGTAACTATAGTTGCAGCTATTATACCTTCAGGAAACAAAGGGCCCCACTCCGAATGTAAGACCGCAAGCAGCTTGAACAAAGACCGAGAAAACGATCATCACTGGGACTGCTGCGCTCAAGGATCCGACCTGTCCGAGAATGATGCAGAAAACGCCTCCTAAGGTCTGCACTGTCCACAGGGCCCATAGCCTACCCCTCATTCCGAATCCGTTCGCTATCGTATCGGACAGTATACCTCCTGTAGGTCGTGAAATGATATTCGCTAAGCCGAATTGCCGCAATGATTCCTGCTACATGGAGTTTTAGGTTAAATCGATCGTAAAAGTACTGACGATGATGTTGTCGATTGTCAGCTCTACCCCGAAGCAATATCCATATTGTTAAGGCCAGGATCTATCCTCTGTAATTTGTGATCCCATGGTACAACACACGTGGTCCGAGCAACGGAGGACAAGTGACGAGGGAGAAGCCTGTGATAAAACGGACAAGAAGGAAGGAGGCGGGGGACGAGGCAATGGAGGTGAAGTGAACTGCCGGTGCTGTGAGGAGGATGAGGGAGGCCCAAGCAACACGTGGTCCGAATAAGTCGCAAGCAGTTCTCCTTAGGGTTTTAAATAAAATTCACGGTCACGTTTTCGGTCGCGTCGCATTACATAATAGATGTCATTACGAGTATCGTCGTGAATTTTTTTAAATGTCACACAACTTATCCTCAAAGGAATAAATTAAATATAATTAAAATAAATTTATAAAATTTATATTACTGAAAATAAGATTAAATTAATTAAAAATTTAAATTTAAATTTTAAACTAGAGACTAAATTATAAATTCTAAAAGTGGAGGATGAAATTAATATATATTTTAAAATTATATTTTAAAAATTATTAAAAAAATATAGCAAACCTCCTCTTCTTCCTCACCTTTCTGCCTCCCCTCCTCAATCTTTCTGCCTCTCCCTTCCTTCTCCTCCCCGACCTTTCATATTTTGAAAAAAAAAAATTGTTGTTGAAAATTGGAATCACTGTTGGAATAACAATTGTTGCATCCTGTTATTGGTGCAATCAACTGTTTCTCGATAAATTACTGGCGTAAAATTTCAAGATTGGTGTGAATCTGTGACCTATCGCAAAAATCATGAAAATCGGTTTCGAACAACGGCGTTACCGCAATATCACGGCTGCTATCACGTTTTTGGACCGCAATTTGATACCCAGGTTCCTATTGCAAGCCGAGCAAAGACGCGCTGGAGACCGATGCAATCCCAGAATTTCCGATATCAGTTGTCGTGAGGTTTAGGTTATCACGTATGATAGGGAGGAGTGGCGGAGCAGCAAAAGTGGACACAAAACAAGCGAAGAATGAGATCCAAGACAAGTGAAAAGCTCGCATATGTGGCGCAGCCACCGAGAATAAACAAAACTCCGTCACCATATGCTCGGAATCCACTGGAAGAGCAAACCTCGGCTGGGTTTGGGTAGCGGTGCTGGATATCTCCATTTATTAATGGAAATCTCAGTCTAATCTTTTGTCTTTGCTAGTTTTTTTTAACAGAAAATGCACTTATATAGTGCGGAGCTGCTGATTTCTTACAATATAATCATTTTATTTCGGATTCCAAAGAAGAATATCGATATTTATGGATTAAAAAAAATATTGGCCATTGAAAAAGAATACAATTGGTATTTTCAAGATTGGTTATTTGCTATCCGTGACTTGGAGGAGTGTAACCTGCGACGATGGCTATGGCTTCCCGAGGGTGAACAGGCAACCTTAAAACATCATATTTCCCTTGGATTGGATAGTTTACTTTTAAAATAATCTAACCAGTAGAATATATATAATATAAAAGGCTGATGGCATGAAAACCGACGTTTTTCTTGAAAAACTATCGATGATTGGTATATTTATTGATCTAATATCGGTCAGATTATATTTTCTGATCCAACACCCTTAGCAGTAAAGTGCGCCCCTTGTACCGCTCTATATGTTAATTTGGCGTCACGTGGAGTAAGATACTCCTCCTACAACGTGTTTTATGTTGACATGAATACACATGAGTATAGCACGGCCCTTACCTTTATTGGGTTCTTTTTTCCACACTCTGCGGCAAGGCTTCCTTTATTAGGTTCTTAACTGAGTCACCCTCTCTTTTTCTCAGTCCACAAACATAATTTTTGAAATAAACAATACTTTAATACTCGTCATATATATAAACAAATAAACAAAGCAAAAGCCTAAATAGTAAAGACTGTCCATTTTTCTTTTGTTTCATGTGAAATTTTTCAAAAAGGAAAGAGTGCAGATATTGAGAGAGACGTGGGTACTGTAAAATTTGTACTCACTGGACTCCACTTCTTCACTAACATGCACCCCTCAATTTATTTACGTTAACCAAACGATTTTAACGATAAAATAATAATAATTATTTTTTAAGATCTCATATTCTAATGTTAAAAATATTAAAGAATAAATATGTAATGATTAAAATTTACTTAAAACAAATACGGAGGCGACATGCAGTCGTAGAATCTTTATATTTAACTTGAAGACGGGTAAAGCATCTGCCGTCTTTAGGTTGGTATTGTAATTCATCCTAGATATGGAGAAGAAATCCCCGATGTTTATATTGGGAATTAAAAAATCTCACTTATATTATCCGAGTCATTTTTCCTATTTCACTGACTTTGGAGAAGAAAGAAAGCTAGTGAACCAAATATGGAGGATATGTCATTTGTACATCTTAACTAATTCAGATCGATCCTTGTCGTGCACTTGAATTTAATGGGTAAATCTCTTAGTAGGGATTTTCTACATACATAAAAACTCAAACTCGAGATTTTACTTAAACGAGATGAAACTGCTTACCACTTGAATCAATCTCGATTAGTGGTTGATACAAATATTTAATTCATTATAAATTACTTTTAAATATAATATAATTTATTTTAATTATAATATCAATATTTAGAGTACAAATTTCTGCACTCTTCGTCCTGACACCCGTATCACCCACCTGATTTTCTCTCTTCCAGTTTCTTTCCTTTTTGAAAATTTTCACAGGAAACAAAAGGAAAATGGACAATCTTTACTATTTAGGCTTTTGCTTTGTTTATTTGTTTATATATATGACGAGTATTAAAGTATTGTTTATTTCAAAAGTTGTGTTTGTGGACTGAGAAAAAGAGAGGGTGACTCAGTTAAGAACCCAATAAAGGAAGCCTTGCCGCAGAGTGTGGGAAAAAGAACCCAATAAAGGTAAGGCGCGCGTCAGGGGCAGCGTTATACACACGTGTATTCATGTCAGTATAAGGTGTGCTGTAGGGGACGCGCCTTACCCCACGTGGCGCCAAATCAGCATATAGCGCGGTGCAAGGACAGACTTTACTGCTAAGGGTATTAGATCAGGAAATAGTCTGACCGGTGTTAGATCGATAAATATACCGGTCACCGGTGATTTTTCGGGAAAAACGCCATGAAAACTGGTATTTTCACCCAAAATGCATGAAATAACCAATAATTACTTGACATGCCCATTGATCAAATTTTACCGATTTAACACTTATTTGTTGACTTGGACGGAATACGTGATCACCAGACGCGTATTTCCTGTGTTTTCGTCCAAGTTGGCACCACGAGGGCAAAGTGCGGATCACCATCTATGCCTTCGTGGTAAAGCTGACACGCGACCTTCTATTATTCACCTTGAATTATTGGGTACTCCATTATTACCTAAACCTTAAAGTTCGGTAACTCACTCATCCCCCTCCCCTATAAATACCCCCGAATACAAACATCAAACCACACTAAAATTACTTTCATATTCTTCCTTATATCAATTCATTCTATCAAGCTAAGTAGATTTTGTTATAGTTCTTAAAAGGTAAAATTATTTTTATTATATTATATTTATTTTATATTTCATTATTTGACCAAATTTTTTTGTATTAATTATTTCGTATTATTTTTTGCGGTTGTAAAATGGAAAGTGAGATCAAATCTCGAAACATTTTACCGATACAATAACAATATTAAATTGTGTTATTTAATTTACTGTGAAATTTGTTTAACTTTTTAGCATTAGTTTATATTTTAATATGTATACTATTTATTTATTTAGGTGTATTTCAACCATTGTTTTTGCAGATAAAAGACTCAATTGTCACTAAAATTTCAAGGAAGGTTCATGTTGGAAGTACTAGAAAAGTGTTCTTACTTTAGTACAGATTTCCAATTGCAGAATTTCTATTAACTTATACAACATTCGAACTCTCCAACAATGACGATGTTGCTATGATGGTTGACTTTCAGAATCAAAATTCAGACGCTGATATAGAAATGTATGCAACATTTATTGAACGGTTTGCGGTTCGTGTCGTGGTATGTCATTATGCTCTCACTATGGGCTGACTCAACAAGCTGATCAAGTTGACAGCCCAACTCAAGTAATGTGTGATGATTTTAGCTTGTTAATGAGAAATCCACATCTTGGTACCATAACATCAAGTTCAATGGAGAGACATTCATCAGCAACTTGTTATGATCTCTATCGAGGTGACTCTAGAAACAATTCATATGACAACATCACTTCCAGTTCAAGGGGAAGACATTCATTTGCCAATTTCTTTGACTTCAAGTTTCAGGGGTAGTCATTCAACTGCAACCATCTTCAACATCAATGTCGAGATGTCTGGGACATATCACTCAGTTCAAAACCCGTATGTCACGATGCCTTCAACTTCAAGCGGAAAGCATTTAACTACCATCTTGTTCGACCTAAATATCGGCATCATAGAGGAACACTAATCTCTACTAGAAAAACCTCTTCGTGAGCCAGGTGCAGATGATACTGAGACTGGACTATTCATTGATCCATAATCACCGCAGTTTAACATGAACTTCAATGATGACGATGTAGATGAAGTTCCCACAAATACGGTACACACCAGACCTTCAACACATATGTATGAATCTGGCTATGGTGTAATGTGAAGCCCACGCTGGATCTACAGGCATGGAACTATAATATCCGCCAGGATGTGGCATAAAACCCTACGGCGGTGGCATCTGAACTGATTATGGAATGTAAACTGGTGTAGACGATGGTTGTTGTGATGGTTCCGGTGCTACAACTGAGGATGAACCGAAAGCGCTTGATCTCCATCCACGAGTCAAGGGACGATGATGTTATGACGGTGAACGCTTTTCTTGATGCCGATGAATGTTCCCGCCTCGTGTTTCCTCGAAAAATAGGAGTGTCTTCATGTTCATGATGAACTACTATTGAAATATGTTTCGATATAACAAATTTTAAGGCAAAATGTTTTTGGACTTGAATTGAATTTATTCAAAGTTTTCAAAAGTTTTCAAAAATAATTCAAAGTCCATTAAATTCGGATTTGAGCAAAAATGCTAAAGGGTGTCAAAGTGCATCCATGCACTGTGCATCGATGCACCCTGAGTGCATCCATACACTCTATTTTGAATGCAATTAGTGCATCGATGCACCTTGTTTGTTATTGAAATGAATGACCTTTCTAAACTGTTGGATATTGCTGCTTCTGGAAAGATTTTTCAGTATCATTCTAAGTGTAAAAAAGTGAAGCTAACTCACTTGTGCTTTGCAGATGATTTATTGATTTTTTACAAAGGTTATCTGGATTTTATTATAGGTGTGAAATGTGTCTTGGAGAAATTTTATGAGTTGTCTGGATTAAGGCTTAATGTTTCAAAGACTGAAATTTTTATTGCTAGCATGTTAGCTAGTCAGATGTCTTTGGTGCATGAGGCAACTGGTTTTAAAATAGGCGGTCTTCATGTGAGATATTTAGGAGTGCCTTTTGTCTTTAGGAAGTTAACAAAGAAGGATTCTGCAAGTTTGGTGGAGAAAATTAAGGCTAAGCTGCAGCTTTGGTCGAATAGATGGTTAAGCTATGCAGGAAAGTTACAATTGGTTAAAGATGTTTTATTCAGTATTGCCAATTTCTGGTGTAGATAGCTAATATTTCCTTCTGCTGTGATTAAAGGGTGGACCAACTTTGTGCTAGATTTTTCTGAAAGAGTGGAGATGTGCCAGAAAAGGGAGCTCGAGTGTGCTGGGGGAGTATTTGTACTCCTAAGTCTGAAGGGGGGTTGCGTCTGAAAAACCTAAAATGTTGGAATAGAGCTTGTGTGTTGTTGCTGGTGAAGAACTTACTTGTTACTGAAGGTTCTCTTTGGGTGGCTTGGGTAAGGACATATGTCTTTAAGGGCATAGATCTTTGGTATGTTGAATGTAAAACCTCTTTTAGCTAGAGTTTGCAAAAAATTATGAAAATGAGGGAGGAGGTTCAACCTTTGTTATCTGGGATTACGAATTGGGCTAAAGTCAATACTCGATGGTTGTGGCAGGAAATCAGGGGGAGAAAAAAGAAAGTTTTATGGCAAAAGCTTGTATGGTTTCCTATGCACATTTCTAGGCATTCTCTTATTGCTTGGATGGCTATTCTTGATAGGTTTCCAACTGCTGACAAATTGCTTAGAATGAGAATTGAGGTTGATGTTTAAGGGTAAATTATGTGGATATGTGCATAAGGTTCGCATCCATATTTTCCTTGAATGCTCTTTCTCGAAAGTAGTTTGGGAGGTGGTTCTTCGATTATGCAACGTTGGTAGGAATGTGGGAAGTTGGGATGAAGAGTTGGATTAGGCGATCTCTCGGTTCAAAGGTAAATCGTTCTTTGTTTTTATACTTAGGGTAGCTTGGTGTACATATATATTGTATGTGAGAGGAAAGAAATTATAGGCAGTTTAGGGGTGTTAGTAGAGGTATTGAGAATATGTTGGATTACATTAAAGGAGTTGTTAGGGTGAAGGTGCTTAGAAGGGTCATTGATGATGATGTTGTAAATAAGAATCTTTGTATAGCTTGGGGGATTTGTACCTCTTAGAGAGGCTGTGTTTTGACTGTATTAATTTGTAGCAGTGTGTTCTACTGCTTCTTGGATAAAAATATGAGAAATTTATCTAAAAAAATTTGTAACAAAATGATCATTAACGTTGTCGTTTTGTAACAAAATGATCAATACATCGTCGTCTTCATTAAGTTGATGATGTGCGACGTTAATAAAAAGTTTATTATCAATATATTATTGCTAAAAAATGAACCATATATTTGACTAATGATTTGTATCTAATTTACTTTAAAAACTTTCTAAATTTTAATCTTTTTTTTAAATCTTTAAACATGAATTTAATAAAATGATACGAGTAAAAAGAAAAATCAAAATAACAATAAAAGATGAGATTAATGGTAAAATTTTCTAGTGCGGTCGTATACAATCCACAAGATAAAATTTTGTAATTTCAGATTAATTTATTCTAAACAAAAGATCAGAGGACGCTTGAGACCTTGATAGATTTATTTAATAAATATAGATTAGAAACAAAGCTATTTTGGTGTTTAAGGACAAGAAAAACTAGATCTTATAAAGCTTTTAGGGTAAAAATAGATATCAAATCATTGTTAACTATTTTTATATTTAAAATATATTTTTTAATAATTATATAATTTATACCTTGTCAAATGAATTTATAACAATATATAATATAAGTACTGAAAACATATTAAGTTTTTTAGTTATAAAAAAGTATAAAATGACTTTAATAAAATAATAATATATACCGTTGACGGACCACCCCACGTGCATCCTTCCCTCCGTTCATTCTGGAACGTGACAAAATGACAAAACCCGACGCCGAACATTATGGTACTTGCCTTTAGCCTAACCTTCAACGTGTTCATCGGTGACGATGAATCGCCTTACACAACTCACAGATGCCTAATTTCGACAGTCCCCCGCCTTTTACTCGCTGCAGAGTTAAGCCTCAATTGCTTTATAAACAGACCACCATTTGCAGAGAAAAACAAAATACATTGTTGATTAAATTTTAAAAGAATAAACTCTTTCAAGGTATTGTTCTTAATAATTTCAGATTTTTACTAGCATTTTGTAAATTTTGATTCGATTATGTTTTCTTTTGCGAAATTATCGAAGGGTTAGTAGTTATTATTATTATTATTATCACTTATAGTGGTCAAGTTTCTTCTTTTCTTGGATCGTAAGTTTGTTTTTTTTAGTCCTGTTAGTATGGGATCATCATGAATGTGGAAAATGCAGAGCGATTAGCAATGCTATTCTAGTAGTTTTGAATTTATATCATTCTGAAAAAGAAAAATGCTTATTATATATGACTGTTGGAATCAAATTTCGTCAGAGATTCGAAGTGTTAACAAGGAAGATGAGTTATAGCGTTGGCCAGAATTTGATGCAGCAGCATTATTTCCTGGGTTCTACGGTTTTAGGGCGTCAAAGCAAACTCAAAAATTCTCGTGGTGTTCATAAAAGTTCCTTTTGTGCCGCTGTTTACCTGAAGAAATCGCCTGCTCAGCCGCGCAAGCTTCAGATATCTACTAAATTTTATGGCGACAGATTGATCAGTAAGAGGAAACAGAAATTAGCCATGGGAAACCACCGGGTTTTTACGTTCAGCCCTCGAGCCGTATTAGCTGCTAATAAATTTTCCAAGGTGAATATCTTTTCTTCTCTTGTTGCTAGGGATGACAATTCTGATCGTAAGTTCGAATGTTAAAATCAACTATCCGAATCTTTGTTATCTATGCGGATTGTGAGTTCAGATATTTAAATTCGTTCGTCTAAAGGGTTGACATTTGCATGTTCTAGTAGGTTTCTTTATCAAACATTTAAATTTTTTGACGAACTCTTACTTTGCTGCAGCAACTTGAGAGATTCAACGTTGATGGGATTGAATTGCAGGTAACTTATTGCTTGGTTTTAAATATACTTTGCATAAACCACCAGTTCAATTGATCTTAGCTTTGTAAGTTATTGCAGGTTGATGCTACTATATCAGGGTCTATTACAGAAGTAAATTTTAGAATCATGTATCATAGTGATTCTTTGCTACTGCATTGGGGAGTGAAATGTGGTGGAAACGAGTAAGTTCTCTTGTACCAGTTAGTGGTCTAAGAACATTACCTTCTTTGTAGTTTCATCTGCTTCTTTCTTTTTTCTTCTTTGGCAGAAACTGGATACTTCCGTCACGTCAGCCGGAAGGGACCATAAACTACAAGAATAGAGCCCTGCGATCTCGATTGGTGAAGGTTAGCATCAATAAAGACAATCACAAAAGTTCTAATTTGACCTATCTTAATATATTTTGTTTGTCTTTGAATTGCTTTTCTGTAGTCTGGCTCCGGTTCCTATTTGAAGTTAGAAATTGATTATCCTAGAGCAGAAGCTATTGAGTTTCTCATATTCGATGAAGCCCCGAAATAGATGGCAAGTATCTGTTGTTGTTTACTACGTTCATTAGATTTAGAAGGTTACTTAAAATGAATTTACTGTTATTCCTCCTCTTTCCATTTGTAGGATAAAAAATAATGGTCATAACTTTCACGTAAAGTTACCTCTGAAGGAGACAATGATTTCAAATATCTCAGTACCTGAAGATCTTGTTCAGGTTCAAGCATATTTGAGGTGGGAGCGAAATGGTAGACAAATGTACTCCCCAGAGAAAGAGAAGGCAAGAATAGGTTTAATACTTGTATAGTTTATTTGTTCATATTGTTGAAGAAAAGTCCTGCATTTGCTTTGGTTCTTTTTCTGGTCCTTTCTTCTTGTTCCACTGTTCAATTTCTTCCCTTGTCACAGGAAGAATATGAAGCAGCTCGTGTTGAGCTATTGGAGGAAATAACCAGGGGTTCTTCTGTGGATGACATCCGAACAAAACTAACAAAAGGTGGTGGACAAGAATTTAAGGACGTAGCTAATAATGAGAAGATGAACGATAAGGTTTTGAAGCAACCGCAGAACCAAAGACATTTTAGTTCAGAACGGATTCAGCGCAAGCAGAGGGACCTGAGGATGCTTCATAATAAGCATCCGGTGCAATCTGTAGTGGGAAGTATCTCTGCTGAACCAAAACCACCGACAGTGGTCGAAAGCTTTGCTAAGAAATTGGAAATGGATGGCAGCCCTGTTATGAACAAGAAAATTTACAAATTTGGAGACATGGAGGTTTTGGTAAGATAACTGGTGTTCCTCTGATTGCCTTCTCTCTTTAAGAATGTTTGCATGGAAAACCTTTTAGAACTTCTTGACTCGTTCCTAATATTCCAGGTGCTTGTCACCAAACCTTCTGGTAAGACAAAGATTCACATAGCTAGCGATTTTCAAGAACCACTTGCACTTCACTGGGCTTTATCTGAAGAGGCTGGAGAGTGGAAGGTAAGATTCATCAAACTGTTACACTCCTCGGGTAGACTTTGGACTTTGGAATTGATTCAATCTTTCTTTCATATAAATCTGAGACTAGTTTATGCGAACATTTTCAGCCACCACCTCGCTCATTTCTGCCTCCAGGTTCAGTTTCTTTGGGTGGAGCTGCTGAATCAAAATTTTCAACATGCTCTTCTGATGATCTTCCTAAACAGGTTCACAAGTAGATTTCATTCTTATCTTGTGTCCCTTGTGAACAAAGTTCTATAGCCAAGATTTAAAATATAACAAGATACAAAGATCTTTCCCTGCATTCATATCCTGAAATCATATTTAGGTGCAATGCATTGAGTTGGAGATCGAGGATGGTAATTGTAAAGGGTTGCCATTTGTTCTGCTGTCTGGGGATAAGTGGATAAAAAATAATGGTTCCGACTTCTATGTGGAGTTCAGTCAGAAATTCAAGCAGGTTCATATTCTTGTTCTTGAATTCAACCAGGAAACTTTTGGTTCATCATGTTTTGCATATGTTATTTTCTGTTTGATCTGTTTCCCTCTATGATTAACTAAACTTCTCTTGAAAATTGAAGGATGCTGGTGAGGGCAAAGGTACTTCAAAGGTTTTGTTGGATAGAATAGCAGAATTGGAGAGTGAGGCACAAAAGTCTTTTATGCACAGGTCAATGAACTTCTGGGATGTAGACTTCATTTTGGTTTTACTGTTTCTAATCTTTGATATTGCACGGTTGTCAGGAATTTAGTTATCTTTGTAGCATGCAATACCAAGCCTTCTCTGTTTCCCCTTTTAGGTTTAATATTGCATCAGATTTAATGGATCAAGCCAAAGATACCGGTGAATTGGGCCTTGCCGGGATCTTGGTGTGGATGAGGTTTATGGCTACAAGGCAGCTCATATGGAACAAAAACTACAATGTGAAACCACGGCACGTACAGATTTAGATTAATTGGCTTGAGATTATTAGTCAACTTTATTGTGTAAATTTTCTGCTATCATGCATGAAGATTATATTAATGTGAATGTTGTTATTTGTATATTGTCCAGGGAGATAAGCAAGGCACAGGATAGACTCACTGAGTTGCTCCAGAGTACTTACATCACTCAACCACAGTATCGTGAGCTTTTGCGCATGATTATGTCTACTGTTGGTCATGGAGGTGAAGGGGATGTGGGACAAAGAATTAGGGATGAAATACTGGTCATCCAGGTCAATCTTGAAAAACATGTTACTTTTTTCTTCAACTTGT